CTGTATCGAGGTTCATGTTACTACTCAAGCGCATCATGTACGTCATTACCATTAGGGGAAGCAATACGGCAACTTACAACTGAACAGTACGCGTGTGCCCTAATTACTGACGACGACCCAAGCTCTCCAAAATATCATGCTGTGTCATACCTCGACGACTACATTTATCGACCAGACGAATTACAAGTTGTGAATTTGTATGAATTTACGATGTGGTACTTTCAAAGGAAGACTGGCAACTACCGAACCGCCAAGCTAAACTTTCGTGAGAGCCACCCTCTTTACAAGTCTCATTGTCTTGGAAAAAGACATATTGATGTTGTTCCAGTCATTCAAGGTTTCAGAATGCCGTCTTCCCAAAATGACAATTCGAACTTGGCATGCAAGCGCGCTGTTCTCAGCCTCATTCTTTTCAAACCTTTCCGAAGTTTGGCAGACCTCATTAGTGAGTCGGTGGACTGTGCAGATGCAATGGTCTGGCAATCAGCACTGGATGTTTGGCTACCAACGCGAAGTACGCTTGTTGAAACGATCATGATAAATATGCAGGATTATTACATTGGCCAACAAAGGGCAAAGGCTGAAAGCGCAGCTCATGCTGAAGCAGCAGTGATAAATCATCGTGAAGGCGACGTTGAAGCTGATGAGGATGGCAATAATGACAGTGATGAAATCTATGGCGATAACGCAGTTGACCAGGATTATATACTGAACGATGATGATATGTCCGTTGATGAAGACATGATGAATATTCGGGAAAATGGCGGCGGCGATGCGGTAGTATTGGACAGCTAATCTTTAAATCCTGCTCTCTGTCCAGCATCATTAAAGCCAGATACCAAAACTGCTTCGATTTTAAGCACCTTTCAAAAATATCGTATGCTTGATCAAGCGACTGAAACGCTAGCAAACAATGTTCCTGCTGTGGTAACGTTGGATAGCCTCCCTTCAATCGATACTATGAAAAAGTGGATTAAAGATTCTGGCGCGGACAATTGCTTTGTGAACCGAGATGACACTTCTCCCAATTGGACGCGTGATACACAGGTGACGGAAATACTGAGCGATTGCCTACTCGATCTAATTATGAAATGGAGACCGCCGTCACGGCTAGATCGCAATCCACAGTTGAAAAAACGATTTGCTAACATTGCTGAAGTTTCAGCCGCGTACACGCTCAACGAGAGACAACACTACGCATTCAAAGCTATCGGTGAAGCCGTTTTATCTAGATGGAGGCAAGCAGAAATTAAATATTGTTCTGGTGCCAACATAGAGACCAAGCTACGCGATGGGCAACTACTATTTTTTCTGGGGGGTGCAGGAGGGACAGGCAAGAGCAGAGTTATCGAATATGTTCAGGCTCTGGTCGATAGTTGGGGACGTCCAGGCTGCTTAGTTAAAACCGTGCAAACCGGTAAAGCGGCTACGCTCATCAAAGGCAGGACGCTTGCGAGCTTCCTGCTCCAAATTCTAAATCAACGCGCAAGTGAATTTCTCACCGACCTTGAGATACTCATTATCGACGAAATTTCCATGATGAAAAAGCATCAGTTATCTCAACTTGACAAGCGATTAAGAGTAGCTAAGCGAGTACCGGGTGTCGTCTTTGGAGGTGTCCATGTTGTGCTAGCAGGAAATTTTTTTACAATTGCCACCCGTCGGGGGAACTCCGCCATACTCCGACCCAAGTCAGAAATCCAAATTTTCGCCCGATGAGCTTTCAGGATATCAGTTGTGGAATTTGTTTACGGATTGCATAATCCTGAAAGAAAGTGTCATATTCGAACGAGACCCTGAGTGGGGATTTGGATGTGAACGCGCACGACTTGGCGTTTGGACACCTGAGTTTGTCAAAATTATAAATTCGCGAGTGGTCAAATCTGAGGACTCGGAAGTGGAATTTACTGAACGGAGGATAAGTACGTTTGTGACCCCCGACAATACGACGAGAGTTGCGATTAATAGGTTGTTTTTATCCACTACCGCAAGATCAATGCCTGATGGGGAGTATCCAGTACGTATTATTGCAAACTTTCGAGGCCAACTTAAAGGATTAAATCGGTCAGAGGCGGAGATGGTCATGGGGCTACCTGACACGAAATTTGGAAGAATGGCTCCCTTTCTTGACTTGATTTCTGGAATGCCAATTCAAGTTACACAAAATATTAGGGCGGAAAAGATGGTCGTCAACGGAGCATTAGGTACACTGGAGGCAATCATTTACCACCCAGAACAACGTTTTGCTTGGTACATGATAGTGTTGCTGGAATGACGGTTAAAATCCCTAGTACGCAGCCGCCGATTGCACTAGTGAAAATCGACCGTGGTGCCTCAGCTACAGCTATGAGAAGCTGCAGTGACACCAATATTTTCCCGCTGTTTTTTGATTCCCAAGCCTTCCGCTCGTGCGATATCTCTCTACCTGGAAATGTTAGTGGTATACCTCGGGTACTTTCGGTCAAGATTCAGCAATTTCCACTTGTCTGTGCCGTGGCTTCGACAGTGTACAAGGTCCAAGGCGAGACATTGGACTCAATGGTAGTGACGGAATGGCGGTCACAAAATGGGGTTGCTAATAAGAAAGAGCAACCGTATCTACAGGTCTCACAAGTCACTTCAAGATATGCTTTTACTGCATTGGAACCTCTAACAAACGATATAATTGCTTGGGCGCGTCCGTCGAAAAGCGCCTTAGATGAGGAAGCGCGATTAGAACAACTTTGCGGCATGACATTGGCAAAATTGTCGTCTACTTCGTTAACGTAACAAAACAACGGAGGTTTTTCTTTAATTTTACAAAATTCCTACGAATAAGTCATTTTTACGATGTGTCAATGGGAAATGTTCAGTAACAGCACATATATGCCTTAACCGCTTCTGCTTGCCAACAGCAGCTTTAAGACTTAATCACCCAACCGATACGTTCGTATATCGCGTTTACACATCTATGTCAAGTTTGGCAGATCCTTGGCTTATCCTCTAGACGTTGTGACGGGATTGACTCTCATTCTCATCATCTGTTAGACACAAAAAGTCATAATCCGCCCATTTTATGATGCCAACCAAGTCA